CTGTGAGGGCTGGGATTTTTCACATGGACTTCTAATAATTTTGACTGGGCTCTGTGTACTAAGGTCGGTCGCCCGTGTGTACTGCTTCTTCTTCTTCTTCTTCTTCTTCTTCTTCTTCTTCTTCTTCTTCTTCTTCTTCTTCTTCTTCTTCTTCTTCTTCTTCTTCTTCTTCTTCTTCTTCTTCTTCTTCTTCTTCTTCTCTTCCACCATGCACCTCATCAAATTGTCGGGGGGAGATGTAATGTTCGTTGATAAGCTCTGTCAAGAGCACTATTATTACCGATTTTCATTTATGTAGGGCTGTTCTCAATGCCATCACTCCATCTTTTCTGAGGTCTTCCACTCGCTCTGTACACGTTGTAACGTTTTAGTGTGGCTCGCTGTGGCAGATAGTACTAGGGCATTCTTGTTAGGTGTCCAAACCATTTCATTTGTTGTTCTTTGATGACCTATAAGACTGGATTTATTCCTAGCATTCGTATGATTTCGTGATATCGTATTCTGTCTTTCCTTGAAACTCCTGCAGCTCTTCTAAGGCATTTTATCTCTGTTGTCACAATTTTACTTCATTGGAGGATGTAAGTGTCCACGTTTGGCATTGATAGCATATTGTTAGCCAAAAAATAGTTCTGATAAAATTCACTTTAGTACTCCGAGGTATCAGCTTTGGCACATCTCGAGCTAATTTCTGTCCAGTTTTCCGTTGGATGTGAAAATTGCTCTCAAATCCTCTGTTTGTCTGAGGGTATGTGTTTTGTTTTTTTAAATATTTTATTTCTAAATTGTCTTTATGTCTTCCTATCACCATATTGCTGCGCACGCTAAAAATCAATTGGCAGATAGAAATATAAAAGTGGCCTAACAGCGTTGCCTGGGAACAATTGAGAGTTATAAGTCAGCCCAAAGTATTTCAGGATCCTCGCCGGTGCAGCGGAGTTCGCCCAGTGCGCTGAGATTCTTCGGACTCAGGTTTGAGCTAGAAATAGAACATAGCCCTTATGGGTTAGAAACCTTGTGTCATGATGTTGATCAGTTGTTTCAAATCCTTTGAAATATTCTTTTCTTTCTCCTAAAATGAGCGCTCAAGTAACGCCACACAAAAAGACAGGAAAATGCCAGAAATCTGAGGCTCGTGTTGTCAATGAATTCCCATACAAGTAGAAGCACCGCACCTAACTGAACATCCTACTGTTTTAAACAAGGCAGAAAGAATTTAAAGAGAAAGGAATGACAGAGTGTAGTATTAGGCTTTGTTTCTTGATTATATGAGTCGTCACAATATTCCGTCCGTCTCTCCAATATTGCTATTTTGTCATTAAGTTTTTGTTCGTTCTTATCATCTACTAGCTGTACCCGGCCACGCGTTGCCGTGGCCTAGAAAGGTGAAATGGAGAGGAAATAAAATAGCTCTCAGCGAACAGTGTCTGTCATACCCCCCCCCCCCCCTTTTTCCTCTCCCCTCGACGCAGTCATATCTCCCTCTCCGTAGGATTGAAAAATCATCACCTGGCAAAAGTATTAAAAAAGAAATAGTTAAGAAATGAGAACATTAAAATAATATTGTAAGCTCTCTCTGCTAACGGTTTCTTGCATAATTCCACCCCCCCCCCCCCCCGCTTCCCCAATCATATCTCCCTTTCCGAATATGACAAATCATCACCTGGCGAAGTAATAGCTCCCTCTCCGAAAGATTGAAAAATCGTCGCCTGGCGAAGTAATATCTACCTCTCAGAAGGACTGAAACATCATCCATGGCGAAATTATTAAAATATAAATAGTTAAGAAACGAGAACTTTAAAATAATATTTCAAGTTCTCCCAGCTAACTGTGTCTGGAAAAAAACACCTAATCACGTAACCAGTGATAGAACCCACAGTAAAAAGTACACCATACTCACGAATAGCGGAGAAAAATACCCCGCACCCGTCATCTCTCCGTCTCCGAGGGAACGATTTTAAACTGACCTTGGCATCCATGTCCACCCAAACTAAACTGGACTGTAAGCCGTCTTAGTTAACAGTTTCTGCCATCGCCGAATGGTTCGATCGAGAAGCGTCCCGGGGAGGCTAATTCGGACTTAACTGAAATCGGATGTTTTGGTGAAAGGCGCAGATATCGCAGCCTAGCTGTAAACCACAACAATACTTGGCAACTCCCCTTTTTTGGGAAAAAAGAACAATTATCACCCAACGGGGAATCAAATACCGGTCACCCGCGTGAAGGATGACATACTTACAACTATACTATCGACGACTGAAGAGTTTAGGTCAGATATCGAAGCCTAGCTGTAAACTACACACAACGTGCCAACGGCCCTCTCGAGGGCGAACGAAGATTACATGTGACATAATCATTGAGCATCATATCGCCGCTGTCGCAGGCTAGCTGTAAACCCCAAAACTGAAAAAGACGTGGATATCGCAGCCTAGCTATAAACCACAACACAACGTGCCAGCCGCTCAGTTAGGGGCTACAAAAACAATTATATCACCTAGCGGGGAATCGAACGCGGGTCGACCGCATGATAGGCAAAATAGTTACCAACTACGCTACCACACACTCAAGCAGACAGTGGCAATGAAATTATATAATAATGCAAAGTTCTATAAGAGCTCAGCAGTCAAATATGGACAATCAACTAAAAACAAATCCGGGCCGGCAACGAAACAAATAATGATTTGACCGTTGCTGGAGCTACGTCGTTTGTAGTTTGTGCCATTATCAGACCCCAAAAATCACTCTTTGAGTCAAAGGCAACGTTGTGTGCAAATTTGAAAGCAATCAGTTCTGTAGTTTCTGAGTTTTTAGTTAACACCATCGGAAAATTAAAATTTTTATTGATATAGATGATATGTATCCCGGTTTGTGTGTGTGTGGTTCGGTTGTCTTTTTATTGTTTCATTTTTTTGTCTCACAACTGCGTATAGCTGTTAATTAAATGTGTAGTTAATTTTTAGTTTTGTTGTAATAATAATCATATAGTAATTGCTGCCTACCAATGTCAGGTCTTGCAAAAATCCTTGTCTTTGCTAGGTTGATGCAAGATTTGAACGTTATTAGAACAAATAATCGTTTAGCATGTCACGTTGTTCTAGATGTTTTGTGAGGGTACGATGTGTCAGTGACCAGTGACCAGTGTGTTCGTATGACGTATATTGAAGAACGTGCCCAAAGTTAAAATATGTCCCCTCAATGTATGAACAGCTAATGAGGTAAGGGTCCTTAACTGCTCACAGAACTGGCTTTAAAACCATCCCTGATAGTTTACGGTCAATAGAACATAGACTGTTGACCCAAGCAAAGCGGCATCTTGGCAGGACGGTCCCCTTAAAATATCGGCTCCACATCAAAGAGATAGTACCCCGCTCGCAAAGTTGGTTTCTTCAGTGTCGCCGGATGACACGTCACCGGCTCTTGCAATCAGGGAGGTTTTCATCTATCTGGTACAGGGCTGGATAAACAAAACAATAGGTCCTAACTCCGGCGAGGGCTGCCACTGATAACAACCGGGACAACAATAGAAGACTAGTGAAAGAGCTGCCCTTCAAACTTATGTCTCTTCGCTGTATGTTATGTCACAAATAAGTGTCAGAAAAATCAAAGCATTTCTGTCCCCACCTACTTCCTATACCAGGGAACCAGTCATCTGTCTTTGTAATGTCAATCAATCATTTTGCTTCAAACTGTGGCTGTGATACCAATAGATGCTCTCTGGATACTCGGACACAAGTCCAATTTGCTCCGTAACATTTCACTGGAAGTTCTTACATTTGTGAACAGCTCCTGTTGCCCTTATGTTTTGTGGTGTTTGTGTCTTTTGAATATTTCGTTAATAATTGGGACTAAGAATTTGACGAGGTTCTCAATCTAAACAGTTGTCTGCACTCTGCTCGTGTTAGTGTCACCTGCAATATGGCATGTATGGGTATGTTGCATTTTCTGTTTATTGTATTACAGTTTTTAGTTAGATAGTTTCCTTATGTTTTATGTCACTACCATGTTTCCGAAGCGTTCAAAGACGGAGAGACGTATCACATACCATTCTTTTCTGTAATAGGAATTGGGAGTCATGATCGCCTAGGCCTGCTTCAGGTCAGAAAGAAGAAGACTTAGAATATCGCGGAGAGAAAAGAGATGAAACACTGATTACTGCAACTGTTACAAGATCCCCCATCAGAACTATAGGTCAAGTGGAACGAATTTCACGGTTCACTTGGACGTAACAGTTGAAACAGAAAATTTTTATTTAAAACAAAAAATTAAAAAAATTTCCGTAGACAAAAAAAATCTCACTCAGAAAAAACAGTAAATGATGAAAAAAAAATTGAATATGTCACAAACATTGAATCTCTAGACACCATAATAAACAGCAAAGAATATTTTTTTTTCAACCGATGTCGAAAGGAAGAAGGACATAGCAATACAAAGATTAAACAACATTAAAAGTCTATAATTAAGCACCAGCAAGGAAACAAATCGGAATCACAACTTCGTGAGCATACATCTTTCCTGTGGCGACACTGAGCTGTGAGCAGTGCACTATCTCACATCCAGTAAGGACAAATAGAGAGACTTTTGAGTTGAAATGCTATAGAAAGATTCTCGTAATACCATGGACAAAGAATAAGAGCTCCCCCCCCCCCCTTTTTTTCCCCTTTCTTTTTTCTCTCACCCTTTTCCGCGCACAGACAAAAAATGACATCCTAAAAGATAAGAAGATCAAGGAAGACAGGCTTGCGAACTCTGTAACTAAAATATATTTTCGTCATATCAAGCGCTATCGCGTCTTGGGAGGGGGGGGGGGGGGGGGAAACACGGTGACATAAGATATGTTACCAGAAAAGAAGGGCAGGGGCCGACAAACATAAAGATGGGCACATGATAGAAGTGAAACTTTGATAGGAATGTGCATCAGGCGGCAAAGCTGGCAAGATACCAAGTTTTTTGTTCCCCAGGTGGGCTGTGATAAAAGCGACGTTCTGCAAAAGACCAGCCACATAATGATAATTATGGTAATGATGATGATGATGATCATAATGATGATGATAATGATGATGAAGACGCAGCTGATGATGATAAGAAAAGTATGGACGAGACTCACAACAACTTCGTTACAATGTCAGAGAGTCGTAATCGCCGATGCCTGCATTGGACCAGAAATCCCTCGTAAAGAAACAGAAGACAGAAGAAAAATTGAGCACGTTTTATTTTCTAACTCTACAACCTTTCCTCTTCCGCTTCAGGTCAACTTTCTGAACCATTTACACTTTACCCACGATATACGCTCTTGGCTTCCATTCTTTCTCCAGGTCCTTATCGTCGTTATTATTTGTATCATCATCATCCTCGATGTCTTTTTCTCCTACTTCTCATTCTTCGTCATCATAATTATCATCATGATCATCATTATCCTCACCACCATCATCATCATTTATTCATCACCATCATCTTCTTCTTTTGTTTCTGCTTCTCAACCTGCTCTCATTTTTCCACCTATTCCATTTGATCATATCTTTCTTTTCCATCTTCGCCTTCTTTTTCTCTGTCTCCTCCTCACCGTCATCTTCTTCTTCTTCCCCTCTCGCTTCCACTCTTCCTTGCCAAGACCGACAATTAGCAACAGAGCGTGTGAGCAAAAGCTGTGGGTCCACAAAAAAGTGCGCTGTTTTATTCTTTCTGTTGTTGTTTGTGCAACAACAAGAATTATATTACTAAAACTACGACAACAACAACTACCACAACTACAACAACTACTACTACAACTATTACTACCACAACTAATTCAACTACTACTACAACAACTACTACTACCACAACAACTACTACAACTACTACTACAAATACTACAACTACTACAACAACAAAAACTACTACTACAACTACTACAACAGCTACTTCAATTACAGCAACTACTTCTACAACAACTACTACAACAACTACTACTACAACTACTACTACAACAACTAATACAACAACTACTACAACTGCTGCTACAACAACTACTACAACAACTACTACAACAACTAATACAACTGCTACTACAACAACAACTAATACAACTGCTGCTACTACAACTACTACTACAACAACTACTACAACTACTACTACAACAACAACTATTACAACAACAACTAATACAACAACTAATTCTACAACTACTACTACAACAACTACTACAACAACTACTACAACTACTAGTACAACAACTACTACAACTACTACTACAACAACTACTACAACTACTACTACAACAACTACTACAACTACTAGTACAACAACTACTACAACTACTACTACAACTACTACTACAACTACTACTACAACAACTACTACAACTACTACAACAACTACTACAACAACTACTACTACAACAACTACTACAACAACTACTACAACTACTAGTACAACAACTACTACAACTGCTACTACAACAACTACTACAACAACTACTACAACTACTACTACAACAACTACTACAACTACTAGTACAACAACTACTACAACTGCTACTACAACAACTACTACAACAACTACTACAACTACTACAACAACTACTACTACAACTGCTACTACAACAACTACTACAACTACTACTACAACAACTACTACAACAACTACTACAACTACTACTACAACAACTACTACAACTACTAGTACAACTACTACTACAACTGCTACTACAACAACTACTACAACAACTACTACAACAACTACTACAACTACTACTACAACTACTACTACAACTACTACTACAACTACTACTACAACTACTACTACAACAACTACTAGTACAACAACTACTAGTACAACTACTACTACAACTACTACTACAACTACTA